CACTCCAGCCTGGGCAACAACAGCGAAACTCCGTCTCAAAAAAAAAAAAAAAAAAGTATTTATTTCAGTGTCTAACATATATAAAACACTACATGAAACCTAACCCTAAAGATTAACCCTAGAGGCCCTTTCCTTGAATAGACCCCAAGGAGGCCCTGAGAAGGGCCTTAACAGTATGTTTACAGGATAATACTTTGTGTTGTATTGTAGTTTTATACTCCTATCCTTGAAGATAGTCATCAAAATTATAGGTACCTCAAGTGCTACAAAACCTGGATCTACCTTAATAGAAATTTCAGTGTTGTGAAAAGAAAACTTCAGAATCAGAAGACCTGGTCCCGGTTGGGTGTGGTGGCTCATGCCTGTAATTCCAGCACTCTTGGAGGCCAAGGAGGGTGGATCACCTGAGGTCAGGAGTTCAAGACCAGCCTGGCCAACATGGCCAAATCCCATCTCTACTAAAAAATGCAAAATTTAGCAGGGCATGGGGGCATGTGCCTGTTATCCCAGCTACTCTGGAGGCTGAAGTTAGAGAATCTCTTGAAACCCAGAGGTGGAGATTGCAGTGAGCCAAGATCGCATCACTGCACTCCAGCCTGGGCGACAGAGTGAAACTCCATCTTACAAAAAAAAAAAAAAGAAGAAGAAGAAGACCTGTCCCATAACTGCTATCTGTGTTATTCTGGGCAATTAATTCAGTGAACTTTCCTGGGCTTTAGTTGCCTCACCAGGTAAATTAAAAATAATACCTACCAGTTTGAACTGTTGTGCTAATCAAATGACATAGTATCTGCAGAAGTAATGGGTAAAACTTGGAAAGTATTCTGTATTTATAATTAATGTCATAATTTGTCTAAAGTACATAAAAGGGAAAAACCAAAAGCAACTCTAAGGCTCTTACCTGGAAAAATAGAAACAGGGTGGTGGGTGAGCTGGTGAAAATAATAATACAAGTACACTTCTTGCTCTTCTGCCAGATTTTCTTCCTGATTTGAGGCACACGATTTTGAAGAAATGAACTACGAAGCTTAGGATGAGAAATCAGAGTGGAGATGAACTTGGAGATTATCTAAGGCACCCCTGACTTTTTACAGAAATGGAAATTAAGGCTCAGGGATGCTAAAAGACTTTTCTGAGGCCTCCTATCTAATGATTGGCATGATCAGAAACCCCAGGTTCTTTAAGTATAAAGAACAAGTACAATCTTTAAGATAAAAGTATTTTGTCATGGGAGTCTTTCAGAATCATTACATCAGAACCAGAGAAGGCCTGGTGCTCTCTACTGGCTTTTAGCTTTATCACAAAATTCTTAGGATTCACCTTTCTGTTTTAAAGGTTGATAGACTGGATGATGCTATGGTAATCTGCCTCAGGAAAATGCCGGACAGTAGTTTGCAAGCTTGCTAAGTGAGCAAAACTTGGGAAGATTTCAAGGTAAGAGTTGTAACTTCAGAAATTAGTGATGAAATAAGAAATGCAAATGCAAACTTCGAAAAGTATGATATAGGTACTCTTCAAGCTGAGTAAATTGTTCTATTGCTTTATCTGAAAAAAGAAAAATAAAATTACACTGTGTTCTCTGGAACTCACGTACTTAACTTACATTCCCTTAGTTACTCCATCATTTCTGTGATGTAGTAAATAGGAAGGTGCTATTTTGCCCATTTCAGTAATAATGAATACAGGAAAGGATTCTTTTTTTATTTGACACATTGTAATTGTACACATTGCTGGGTTACAGTTTGGTGTTTCCATAATACAAATGCTGTATACTGATCAAATCAGGGTACTTAGCATCTCTCTCACTTCATGTTATTTTGTAATACATAATATCATATTATTAAGGGCAACCCTACTGTGCAGTAAAACACCAGAACTTGGCCAGGTCTGGTGACTCATGCCTGTAATCCCAGTACTTCGGGAGGCCGAGGCAGGTGGATCCCCTGAGGTCAGGAGTTCCAGACCAGCCTGGCCAACGTGGTGAAACCCCATCTCTACTAAAAATACAAAAATTAGCCGGGCGTGGTGGCACGCACCTGTAGTCCCAGCTACTTGGGAGGCTGAGGCAGGAGAATCGCTTGAATTCTGGAGGCGAAAGTTGCAGTGAGCTGGGATTGTGTCACTGCACTCCAGCCTGGGTGACAGGAAGACTCTGTCCCCCAAAACGAAACAAAACAAAAAAGGCCAGGTGTGGTGGCTCATGCCTGTAATCCTAGCACTTTGGGAGGCCAAGGCAGGTGGATTACCTGAGATCAGGAGTTCAAGACCAGCCTGGCCAACATGGTGAAACCCCATCTATACTAAAAATATAAAAATGAGCTGGGAGTGGTGGTGGGTAATCCCAGCTAATTGGGAGGCTGAGGCAGGAGAATCGCTTGAACACGGGAGGTGGAGGTTGCAGTGAGCCGAGATCGTGCCATTTCACTCCAGCCTCGTCAAGAGGAGCAAAACTTCATCTCAAAAAAAAAAAAAAAAAACAGCCTTGCCCAACCCAGTGTCGTAAAGCATTTCCCCTGTGTTTTCTTTTAGTAATTTCCTAGTTTCAAATTTTATATTGAAGTCTTTAATCCATTTTGAGTTGATTTGTGTATATAGTGGAGACAGGGTCTAGTCTTAGTCTTCTGCACGTGACTTTCCATTTTTCCCAGCACCTTTTATTGAAGAGACTATCTTTTTCCCAGAGTATGTTTTTGGCACTTTTGTTGAAAAACATTTGGCCATAGATGCATGAATTTTTTTCTGGGTTCTATTGTGTACCACTGGTCTCTGTGTTTGTGTTTATGCCAATACCATGCTGTTTTGGTTACTATAACCTTGTAGTATATTTTGCAATAAAGTACTATGGTGCCTCAGCTTTGTTATTTTTGCTAAGGATTGGTTTGCCTTTAAGAGTCTTTTTTGACTCCACATGAATTTAATGATTGTCTTTATTTCTGTGAAATATATCATTGGTATTTGATAGAGATTGTATTTAGTTTGTAGATTACTTTGGGTAGTATGGCTGTTTTAACAATATTAGTTCTCTCATGCACATGAGATGTCTTTTCATTCATTTGTGTCTTCTTCAGTTTCTTTCATCAAGGTTTTATAGTTTTCAGTTTAGAGATCTTTCACCTCTGTTTATTCCTAAGTATTTTATTTTTTTGGTAGCTATTGTAAATGGAATTATCTTCCTGATTTCTTTTAGAAATGACAACATTTCTTTTAAAATGATAATATTTTGTCATTAAGAACACTGCCCCCACTCATAATGTATAATAATTTAATAGGGAATATGGAAAATGTGATTTGCTTTTGAACCATGTATGAAGAAAGGATTTGCTAAGCAAATACCTAGAGTAAAGGAGATAATGCCAATCCTAAAAACATTCTTTCTTTCAAGTTGAGAGCCCTCTCATTCAGAACATCGTCATCTAATTTCATGTTATATGTCAAGTGTAGTCCTCTGCTTTCGAAGGCCTGCCTCTGGATCTAGGATGAATTTTGCCATCCTTTAAAAAAAGACTAACTCAGTGTTGGTGAGATGCACTCTAAGCTTCTCCCTGACCTCTCTCCATTTCCCTTCAGCTCTCCTTGCTCTGTTTTGACCCATCATTTATCTTACCAGCCTGTAACAGTTACGCATCCTAATCAGTTACTTCTCTGGCACTCTACTGGCATGAGATGACTTGGTCAAAACAGTTTGCTACAAAACAAAATGCTTGCAATAAAAATTTCTTCAACATGACAACTAAGTCAAAAATTATTCTTTCCAATTGCTGGGTTTTTATGTTTAGTCATTCCGGTGGCCAGAGATTTGCTTAACTGCCTCTTTGGGTCTTTGAGAATTTTTTTGTGCACTCACGCACACACATATGCGTTTCTTAAGGAATCATATTGTACATAGTGTTTACTACTTTTTTTTTTTTCTCTTGGAGACAGTCTCACTATGCTGTCAAGGCTGGAGAGCAATGGTGCAATCTCTGCTCACTGCAACCTCTACCTCCCAGGTTCAAGCAATTCTCCTGCCTCAGCCTCTTAAGTAGCTGGGATTACAGGCATGCACCACCACACCTGGCTAATTTTTGTATTTTTAGCAGATACAGCGTTTGACCATGTTGGCCAGGCTGGTCTTGAACTCCTGACCTCGTGATCCACCCACCTCGGCCTCCCAAAGTGCTGGGATTACAGGCATGAGCCACTGTGCCCGGCTGCTGTTTACTACTTTTTAAATATTTGCAATGGCTTCATAAAATTAAACATGTACATTTTTTTCTTAATCATATAAAAGTTTACTTAGATTAAAAAGCACAAAAGTTGGAAACATACCTAAAAAATTATGATAAACTGACAGTACTGCTTTAAAACTTTAAAGGTGGCAAAACAATTTATATGGAAAACAAGCAGCTGAGAATATTTCTTTTTGACCTATTTATCTACAAATTTAATTTGTTTTCAACTGGATTGCCTGAGGCTCAATCTGTGTCAGTCTAATTCCCACTGTGGTCTGATATGGCTTGACTCCTGCTCCTTTTCTTTAGCAGCACAGTGGGGTAGTTTTGACCCATGCTCTTTGTAACCCACATCATCACTGCTTAGGATTTTCTCTAAGAAGCATTTTTCCTAGAGATGGTCCTACTTATTTGCCAAACCTGTTTTCTTCCTTGACCCCTAGCTACTAAAAGTCCTAACCCTGAGTACTTTCCCCACCTCCCTCCTTTCCTTCCTCCCTTCCCTCCTTTCTTCTTTCTATCTCTAGTAAATTATTTTAGACAAATGGGCTGAGGAGTTCAATAATAACAATAATAAATTAATGACAGCCAAGATTTATGGAATACTTATCATATGCCAGGCACTGCTCTATGCACTTTAGATGTATTAACACTCATTAACTCCTCAAAAAAAATGCTATAAACTAGGAACTGTTACAATCCCCATTTTACAGATATATACAGATACAGAGGTTAAGTAACTTGCCCAGGGTCACATAATCAGTATTGTCTAGAGTGTCAGAAAGCAGTCATCATGGCTGGGTGCAGGGGCTCCCGCCTGTACTTTGAGAGGCCAAGGCAGGCCAGTCACGAGGTCAGGAGTTCGAGACAAGCCTGGCCAACATAGTGAAACCCTGTCTCTACTAAAAATACAAAAATTAGCCGAGTGTGTGGTAGGCACCTGTAGTCCCAGATACTTGAGAGGCAGGAGAATCCCTTGAACCCAGGAGGTGGAGGTTGCAGTGAGCTGAGACTGTACCATTGTACTCCAGCCTGGGTGACAGAGTAAGACTCTGTCTCAAAAAAAA